CCGACTCGGCTCGAGTTCCAATGAGCCAAACTCGTCCGTATGTGTGTCGCAAAGTTGGGAGTCAGCTCATGCGTTTATGGTGAAATTACTCCGAGTCAAGCTCGCCGAGCCAGACTCGTACGTGTATGGGCCCCTTAACGGATAGACTCTCTCAAGTAAAATTCAAAGACGAAACCACAAACTTAAGGAAAACAGAAGCAGACGTACCGCAAGGAAGTGTCGCAGGATCTGTCCTATACCTTATCTATGCAAGCGACCTGCCGACGTCAGACAACTCAACAACTGCTACCTTCGTAGATGTTACAGCAATCTTAGACACAAATGAAGGTCCAGCAATAGCCTCAGTGAAAGAATAAACTTGATTAGGCAAAGAAATGGAGAATTAAAATGAATCGAAGCAAATCTACGCAAATTACATTCACACTACGCAATCAAACCTGTCCGACAGTGCAAATGGACCATGTTGAACCACCCCAGAAAGAAGTGAAATATCTGGGCATGCATCTCGAAAGAAGACTGAGATGGGCAAAGCACATCAAAACCAAAAGGAAACAGCTCAACCATCGAAATCCTCCAGCGCTTTCAGTCCAAGGCCCTCCGACCCATCGGAACGCACCTTGGTATGTAAACATACACAGGATCCATGAAGATCTCCAAATAAAAACAGTGCTCAGTGAAATAGAAAAAGTGGAATACCAAATTCTTAAGAACATTAGAAAAGCACACAAATGCACTAGCAGTGAACATGTTAGACAACAGCGAAACTACACACAGACTGAAAAGATACACCGTCCTAAGTCTACAAGATAGACCTGAGTAGAACCCCAATACAAGCATTCAAATGCTATCTAATTGAAAACAAAAACGGCACTGGGCATAACTCATTCACGAGCCAGTATTTACTGAACATATATATTTACAGCACTCTGCAGATTATGTATGATAAATGTCTGAAAAAAGATGGGATCTTTGCTCGGGACTAGAGGACTTCACAGCTGCTATATGTACGTTATTATATCATGTACTGTACATGTAAACCTGCAAACATTCAGAATATATTGACAATAGACGGACAATGACTTCGACAAATGTGAGATCTGTCCTCTCGTCAGAGAGGCCGACCCATATCGAAGAAACCGTAACTGTCTGTCAGTAACCAAGGCCAGGTCATGGACCCCAGAGGGGATCAGAAACCAAGACGGACGGACTGACCGATCGTCGGTCGCGATGTGACTTGACTCTGATGTTAGCTAGCAACGACCAGTGAAGACTTAACAAACTGTGAAGTTATTGTGCGTGCCGTAATTATTTGTAGTGTGTGTAAATTAACGAGAATATTATAATCATTTGTAGTTATGATTCATAACTGTTCAGCAAATCAAGTAATCAATTCAAACCCAGTGTCTACTCACTAACACGTGACAATATGTTACTTACCAGCCACCCATAGGAAAACCCTCACCACCGCGTTGAAAAATGCGAGAAAAAACTCGTTTTCCTGAAACAATGCATGAAAAAATTAGATTTATCTTTTATTACCAGGCAACAAATCGAGATTCTTCCGTCATTTTGCCTGTAAGTATGTGGAATCGTGAGAAATTATTTTCCATTTTCAGCTCAGGTGTTACCAACAAATAAAAATTATACATTCACCAAGAGTTTAAGAGCAGGTTAAATTCGGAGAATATTTCTAGATGTCGGCACTATTCTGTTTGGTCATGGCGGTAGCACAATTGCAAGCGGGGACAGCTGTTTCTGTTTTGGAAGTTAAATCGAGCACCAGTTCTTGTTGGTAGGGGCGAGCGGGTGCGATGTAGGTTACTGCAATCATGGATAATGTTGCAGTGTATAGCGGTTCTCAAGGGTATATTCGACAAAGCAGCCTTTCCACACCTTCATGAGACTATAGCGATTGTTTGGAGAACCAATTCGTGGGCCCGTTTCCCCTCCCCTTTGTGGTCGTGAGATCCGCAGAGGGTGACCATACGTTTTCTTGTTGCCCTATCCACCACATCTGGTCAAGGTATGAAGTGTAGACATTGCTTTGCAGGTGCACGTACCATCAGCAGTTATCCTACCACAGCCGTATTTGTTTGTAGTGTGTGTAAATTAGCGAGACTATTATAATCATTTGTAGTTATGAGTGATAACAGTTCCCCTACGCAAGCAACCCTGTCCGACAGAGCAAATGGGCCATGTTGAACCACCCCAGAAAGAAGTGAAATATCTGGCCATGCATCTCGAAAGAAGACTGAGATGAGCAAAGCACATCAAAACCAAAAGAAAACAGCTCAACCATCGAAATCCTCCAGCGCTTTCAGTCCAAGGCCCTC